ACGTCATACCCTTCTCATTAGGGGGAACATAAGAGCATCACATAAGAGTGTATGTGATTGATCTGGAGGTATTTCACGCTTTTAACTGCAACTAGTAGCACAGCAATTTGCAGTGAGAGTAGCATTTAGTGGAAAATTCCACTAAACAAAGCACACGCAATTGTGCGCGACAATGAGAGTAATATGAACAAAGCAATGTATGATTTGACAGTCTAGCATGGGTTGTTCTGCGCACTCGCTGCAGCTTGTGATACATGAGGGGCTGTGATCACAGCGAAGTGTAAGTGATGCTGTTTCCAGTGGGAGAAACACTGGGGCATTTTAAGCATTCGCCACTTGCATATTCTAGCTTGGAAGATATTCAGATTTAACAGCAAATTTCTCAAACACTTAAATCAAGATGTACAAACGAGGGGGAGCAGTATGATATGAATGTTTCTAGTAGCATAATTAAAGATTTTTTTGGCATACATTTTTTCCATCCGTATATACTAGTTTTAAAATATTAATAATGTATAATTTATTTATTATATTAAAACTTTGAAGTAAAAAGAACTCTTGTATCGGTATCGGAATCAGATCGGAACTGAAAAAATGTGGATCAGCCCATCTTTCTTTAAAAGGAAAAGCACCAGAGATGTGGCACTACCCCACAAAGGAGAAATAATTTGCTATCCGTATCAATCATTGACACTGATGAGGGTCGCTTTATAATAAGAATACACTGGGATTCAACACCACAACTTCATGATGCAGCTCATAACCTTCTCCACTTTGAGATGGGCAGTCAGTCTTTATGTACCTCATCTGTTCTCGAGGCAACAGCTGGCAGCCCCCCCCCCCCCCCCCCCCCCCCCCCCCCCCCCCAACCCCCTGCCTCTCCTGCCCCCAAAAAAAAAAAACACCCAGAACTGCCCTGAACAATAACTATGTTCTGGAATGTAAATGACCTGGACAATACACAGAGCCGTTTGAACGTTCTGAAAGGCTAGTTAGATGGGCAGCTATTCACAGGTTTTCAATGTGGCCCATTGTTTGACAGTCACAGGTTTGTTTGTCACCATCTATCTGGAGCTTTTTGCTACCTCAAGCGAATGAAAGCTGTGTTTCGACCTTTAGTTATGCTTGAGGTGACTTATTACATGTTTTAAGCAGAAGTTACTCTGATGATGTCATTACTGAAAGTTCTCTAAAGATAACTGACGGATTTTGCATATGTAGGATGACCCTAATATACCACTTGCCGAGTGTCATCTGGTATAGTGACAGGCCAATGGAAAGGTCTTTCATATCAGCCTCATTTGAAACTGTACTCGAGGCATTAAAATTAGAGCTTGCCTTTCTGCAGAGATGTCTAGTATAAGTTTAACATGGCTATACCAGCTAAGCAAAAGCAAGTAATTTAAAGAAATTTGCTCACCCTTGTAAAAGTGTGCTTGACAGCCCTCCCATACTTAATGTTAAATTTTAAATAAGGCCTCTTGTTGCCATAGAAACCACCAGCTATTCATAAGGTGGTTGTGTTTACAGAAACAGAACTGGGTTGGCCAGTCTCTCTCCCCACCCTCCCCACCCCCACCAAACTCACTGTCAACCAATCTGTTACACCAGGTGCACTTGGTCAGGTGACATACTCTGCAAATTAACAGCTTCTCTAAGTAGTTTGTGTATGAACTTCAGTATTGTACTTTTGATGCATTTTATTGCCCCTCTGTTAAAGATTTAATTAGTGTGCTGGTGGAGGCAGTTGCAAATAGTTTCATTTACTCTTCTTTTTAATTAGAATAAGGCAAAGAGAATAACTTATCTGCTTTCATCATGGGGAGTGCTGTGGTTGTGGTGATCCTTGTTTTAGCAGCTAGGTAGGTGAGTTACTGTGTGGCTTTCTAATATACACTCAGTGACAACCCAGGCGGAGTGGTGGGACTGAGATGAATCTGTATGTGGTGGAAGGTCATGTGACTATTGCAATGATTATAATATCTGATCAAACAAACAACAGAGTTGGCAGTATGAGCCCACTGCTGGTCCTATGTCAGTAGGTTGTGACATGCCCTCGGGCCTGGATAAGGTGAGGAAGGGAGTCATACAGCCGTTGTATCCTCTCCTGTGGCAATTCCGCCGACAGCTGTTGTAACTAGCCCTCAAGATCCTGCAGATTGGCAATGGGTCTGAGTTGACGTCTGAGCTGTTGCCACGCATGTTCGATTGGGGAAAGGTCAGGGGGCCTAGCTGGCCACAGGAGGACCTCAACATGACGCAGGCAGTCCATAGACCAGGGGTGCCCAACTCCAGTCCTGGAGGGCCGGAGCCCGGTGTAGGTTAGTTCTTTCCCTGTTCCACCATAAATGATTCAGCTCAAGAGCTGTGTGATAATTGGCACAAGGAGTTGAATCAGGTGTGTTAAATGTTGGGGAAACCCAAAAATGTGCAGGGCTCTGGCCCTCCAGGACTGGAGCTGGGCACCCCTGCCATAGACGGGCGTCGTCTTGTTGAAAGACTGTACCAGGGTGCTGTCTCAGGAGGCATGTGGACACAGGATGACACTGACGTAGTGCTGTGCAGTCAGAGTCCCCCGAATCACTGTCAGAGATGACCTGAAGTTGTACCCTATGGATCCTCACATGAAGATGCCAGGAGTGATGCCAGTGTGTCTCTCCACGGCATTGGTAGAATTGGTCCTCTCCCCTCGCCACTGCCATACGCGCACATGACAGTCATCCGTGGTAATGCAGCACCGAGATTCATTGCTGAACATGGTAGGACGCCACTCGTCATCAGCCCATGCCTCCCTGTTACGGCACCCCTCCAAACGCAGCCATCTCTACGCTGGTGTTAACGGCAGCATACGCATGGGACGGCGAACCCGTAGTCCGGTTGATGCCAGTTGTCGAGACACGGTGCGGGATGACACGGGGTGTTGTAGAGAGTCCAATACCTGTGCCCGGATGGCAGGCGCAGATGTCATGGGGTTCTATAATGCTTGGCATACAATACGACGATCCTCCCTTGGTGTGGTCTGTCTTGGGCGACCAGAACCTTCACAATGTGTGTGGGTGCCCTCAGGTGCCCATTGGTTCCAACATCGGGTGACTGTGACATCTGCATACCTTACGTGCCGAGCAATTGCACGATACGACCACCTGGCCTCATGCAAACCCACAATGCGACCCATATCAAACTCTGTCAAGTACTGCTAATGCTGTCTAACGCCTCTAAGAGACGTCCTCTGTGTCTGGTGACTGGACGTGCCAGCTTCTTGCAAATTGAATCATTTACATACCCATCGTTGGTCTGCACATGTACCAAATTACATCCAAATCAGACCATTACTTCATTTTTTTTGTCACTGAGTATATAGAAGTAATGTGATGAGAGGCAATTAGTTAGCAGAAAATACTTTGTTTTAATAAGGGGAACGTTTTGCTTAAGTGCTGACTAGATTATTAACCAAAAACTGTTTATCCCAAAAAATCAGTTGCTCAGCATGTGAGGTATGCTGATGTCTGTCGCCTGATGTTGGAATGAATGGGCACGGGAGGGCACCCACACGCGTCGTGAAGGTTTATCCCATCATGTTGATGGACTCGTGTTTTTCTTTGGGATTTGAATTGGCAACCTTTTGATCCAGTTTCTTGACCACTGTTTTAGATGGTTCGTGTAGTGTGATGCGGGAGCTCTGACTGGCTGTAATGTCACCCAATAGAGAGGGACAATTCCATATAAGGAAGGTGCCCCACTAGCAGTGCTCTTGCAGGCCGGTTGCCACAAAATCCGTTTGCCGCCTTTGTTATTCTGTGGTGTGCTTTGGTGTCACGTGTGCTATAGTGAGAGTATAGTACTTCTCCATTTATAAATTGTGAGTGAAGGGAGGGAAGTGGAGGACTGTTTTATATTATACTGAAAAGATCAGCCTGTGTTGGAAACATCAGAATGCTTTGTATTTAAAACACTAAAAAGAATTACATGTCCCATCATGCTTTTTGGTGTCAAGGATTTTATCTTGTGTATCAGTGGTGATAAACTTTCCACAGAGAATTGCCGTTTTGAGAAGATACCTACCTGAGAGACTATAAATCCAGTTACATAAATTGAAGGTGTGAAGATGGCTTTGGAAAACATGTCTGAGCAGCAGCAACAATAAGGAATTGTCTTGTAGCCCTGCTTGAACAGAAATACCAACATGGATTGTCTTGCTGCTTGTCAGTAGTTGTTGATGACACTTGATCAGTTTGTGCAGCTTGTCTGTTCAGCTCAACCTGCAGTGTTTTAATCAATCTTTGGTTTAGTTGAGCTGGCATATCCCTGTATCCCCTTCATTTATAATAGTCTATTTCAGAATGGAGCTGAAATCCTGCAGCTGAGGCTTGCTTGCCTAGTGATTGGTGGCATCATTGTACCGGCAAATATAGCTTTGAAAACTTCCTTGATCAGCTTTTGTCTGTAATGCAGTGGCTGTCACTGCTTTTTTTTTTTTTAACCTGTATTTCGTTTTGATAAATTTGGAACCAGAAAACATGCAGAAAGACTGCAGCACATCTAACCTTTCTGTTCCTTTTGAGATACCCAACACTACTGATGACAACCGTAAATCATGGTATCTGACACATTTTATGTTTGTGGGAAATCTCACTAGAAAATTGATTACAACCTGTGACTTTTGAAAGCCACTTGTGTTTTGTAACCATTAACTTCTGTTCAGTAGCCCCGACAGTCATTTGATATTTGGTATGTGGGTAGGCTCAACATAGCCTAAAGAGGACGTGTTTCTAATCATCTCCTTTTGTCGGCAAGGACAGCGATATCACTTACACCGCATTGAATAATTTAGCGATGTGTTTAACCCGGAGGGAAGGAAGTCAGAGTAACAGCACATTCTGGTGGATGCGTTCCAGGTTATAAATTATTCCAAGTGGTAATGACTGAATTAACAATTTAATGTGCACTAGTGTGTAATGCTGTTGCAGTGGAATAACTTTATTATTATTATTTTTTTGCAGTAAGACGGAGCGAGCGAATGATATAAAAGAGGACCAGTTTACCAGATAAGGTAATGCTCTTTTGTTGTATTTCTACAGTTTGCGTTAAAACATGGTATGGGGTTGATGATGATATTGTTATGCCACTTCTGGCATTCGTGCAACATGTGACCAGGATGAAAGTTATTCAGTGGTGACCAGAAGTCCATTGGCTTATCAGGTTCCTTACAGCTTGGAAATTGAATATTCAGTGTGAAACTTTATGAAGCCATGCACATTGGTGTGATGTGATTGGTGAGAATTTCTTTGAATGGCAAATTCAAAAGGGACTGCAAGTAAGTGATGTTATTCCCTTAAAAAGGGGGTCCACCGGTTCAGCTAACAGGTCATTATCAGGAGTTCACTCGTTCAACAAAGCCCTGATTAAATAAGGAATGCAAGCTGTTGTGCTCAGTGCATCTGCAGAAGTTGTTGAAGCGCAGGTTGAATGTGCCTCAACATTGCTGAGATCATAAGTGAATTGAGAAGATTGCAACTGTGTAAAATGTTTTGTTCCCAAAATTAAATGTGTACCTCCATAGTAGGGACATATGTGGCTTGTTTGTTTATGACATACCCCTGCCTTTTGAGCTAAATCAAACCCCATCAGGGTTGGGTAGAGTGCTTTTGTCACTTCTGAATATTTATGAGTTATTGGGAAGGATTGGTGCTGTAACTTTTTTGGACAAACTAACTTTGCTCTTTCCAGAAAGGGTTGGGTGGTTTTTTTGCAACTGGGTGGATCCATGTTTCTTTGGTTAATGTGCCCTCATCACATCAATGGCTGTATATGCAATTTCTCTTAACAGCACAGCACATGGCAGTCCCACCAGTCTTTCCTCTCGTTTGCAAGGGCTCATCATGAATCATTTGGAAGAAGAGTAGGCTTCTTAACCCGGGTCGTTGTCCTGTCTTTCCATCTTGTGCCCTAGGCTTCTGTCAGCAGGTAGTCCTGCATTGTTTTAATTGGTATGCAAGACAGGAAGCCGTTGTGAATCTGCAGTACTCATCTAAGCCAACTTAACCACACGCAGACAAAATGCTGCTGTTTCCATTTCCCTTTCCTTTGTGCTTGCATTAGAGGCAGACTGGCACCAACTTTTCTCATGAGCTGATCCTGAGTGCAAAGCAGAGATGTGTAAAATCATTTAAGTCCTTTTAGGGCTTGGGGAAACATTTAATGTCTTTGTCATTCTATGTTTTTTTTTATATCTGTAGGCTCATGGAACATGGAAGACTACTGTTTATTTAACAATTATTTAACTTGTTGTTTAACAATTGCATTGGCACTTGCTGTTTGGTGGAAGACTGCAGAGTACTTTTTGTGTGAAAATGCTGATGAACCTGCCTGTATTTTCTTCTGGAAACAGCCCTTGTGTAGAGTACAAGGCTACCTCCTGAAAAGGGTAGACTAACAGCCCTCGCAGACAAAATAGTTTTAGAATGTGTAATTTTGCGCGTATCTCCATCTGACCTCAAATTGAGCTAGGACTTTCGGCTTCCAGTGATCTCCATTGACTGATTCGGTTTAGACTACTGTTTTTCTACAGTTTATGGAATCTCAGCAGTGCCCTCTTGTGTCTATTCAGGAAAAAGAGTAACAGCCTTTAAAAATCTTGGAAGATACATATGGTTATCAGGCATTTTTCATTCGTGCTAGATTCTGAGATTGAGTTTCTGTAAGGTTTAGTAGGCTTACCTTTTTAATATTTGACAACACAAGTTACGTATTGTACAGTCAACCCTGTCATTTCATGGGGGTTAGGGGTCCAGGCCCCCCGTGATCTGGAAAAACTGTCTTAAATTCTTTGGTACCCTTGATCCCCTTGGCGAGTGAAGCAAAGGAAACGCAAGATACACAGATCACTGCGAGATATCACATGACAGTCTGCCATAAACACTCTTGGGTTGTGTCCGAAATCGTGCACTTGCGCACTTTTAGTGCACGATTTTAGGGCGTAGTGCGTTCACCCTGACAACTAAGCTAAAATTCAGTGCACTGGAAGTACCCGGATGGTGCACTGAAAACGGGCAGAAAACGCAGTGCAGAATGATGGACACTACTCGCACTAAACGGACGCCATTTTAACTACATAGTGGAAGGGGAGGGACTTTTGACAAGTTTTCAAAGTTGAATAATGGTGGACAACAACACAGACACGCAAGCCCAAGTGGAGTAATGTTAATAAAATTATTTTACTGATGTATACTGCGGTGTGTAGCCTGTCACTCTCTGACGACAGTTATAGATAATTTGTTTGAGTTAGGGTTAGGGTTTTATCGATTATATCGACTTAGAAGAGTTAGCACACGTAAATGCTAGCAGTTTTTTTAGCTGGTTAGGCGGTCGGAGGTTATACATGTTATAAATGTTCTATGTTGAAGTTTGTAAATGTTACTTACTCGTTGTTATTGAACCTCCAGAATCGCGATCAATGCTAGTCCGTCACTTCCGGTAAGTGCAAAACGTTAGTGTTCCATTTAGGACAGCACTTACCCATGGTAGTGTGCACTACAGAAGGAAGTGCGCAGTACGCACTACATCTCAGTGCACTGACGCAAGTGCGTGATTTCGGACACACACTTGGTGTCCTTCGAAACAGCACTGTACACATTTTATGCAATAGAGAGATACTCAACTTTGTATCTGCTGGCCTTTGTGTGTTGCCTGCAGCTTTTGCAGAACTCCCAAAAAATTCCCATTTGATTTGATGCCAAAATTGCGATGGGGAAAGTTTTGATACAGGAGGGTCAACTGTATCTGTATTTGGGTACTTCTAGGAAGATTTGGCAGTACTCTGAACTTTGAAATACAATATACTCCATTACATTTTCTCTCTGGGATTCAATGACAAGTGGAATTTGATAATGTGATTTCCTTAAATTTAGTTTTTGGGCTTTGTAATTACACTTAAGAGTTGCGTCAGAGCTATGTGGAACAGTTGGACAACTTGGGTGTGTTAGAACCAGGGCTGTGGAGTCGGAGTCGGAGCATTTATCTACCGACTCCACAGCCCTGGTTAGAACCTTGTGATTATTCTTCCCTTCTGAAGCTCGCACAGCTTATTCAATAAAGGAGAATTTTCAGGTGCACTAAGGAAGGTGTATTAGACATTTTCCTCTAATTTTCTTTCCTGTTGCTAAAATTGTACATCCAGTTTACACAAAGCTCTGACCTGTTATATACCTGTCAGTTGTACACATTTCAAACAACTTTAGGATGAGGGCATTGCATAAGGGTCCAAGAGTGGCTTCTGCAGTCATCTGGATTATGGCTTCTGTACCTTTGCTGTTTGTCTAGCCACTGTCCTGTTGCAGCTCAGGAAATCATTCTGATGCTCTGTCTTTCCTATATGATCAGTGGTAGGGATCCGTTTTTTTTTTTTTTTCTTCTTTTTCATAATCGTCATATAAAATTTCCCACAAAGAATCAGGAATATATAGGGGTTAAATTCCTGAACCTAAATTTTAAGCCTGATGCTGTTGGATTAACAGGGACAAATTTTAAGTCTTAAGTAGCAAGTATATATTTAATGCACGAGTTGGAAATGACAGGATACGAATAAAGAAGGCTGCCTTTAGGTACCTGATGTGTAGTGAGAGAGCCGCTGGCTTCAGAAGTAGCTGTGGTAAGATTGGTGGCAGGTTGGAGTGGACTGAAGGTGCTTAACCGCATGAGTAAACGTACAGAGGATCTCAGTTTTTATATAAACTTAGAAATCATATGTCGTACTTCCTTCTCAGGCATATTATGCCCCAGAATGTCATTGAAAATGCCCTTGATGTGTAATTACGAGGTATGGCAATCGCTGCAATGTGGAAATGGGTACTGAGGAAATTGCAGCCACTCGTAACCTTTCTGGTGAGTCTTCAGGGCATCACTGTAGCATCATTGAACTGCACTTGGGAGCCTCAGTGGCAATCAAAACCAGTAACTTGGGGAATACCACCCCCCCCCCCCCCCCCACCCCCATCTTTAGGATGAAGAAAATCGAAGAAAATCAAGCGGATGGTTTAGTCTTCTTCCTTTTAAAGTTTTCATTTCTTGAGGAAAGTTTGTGTGAGTGTGTGTGTGCAGGGGGGTTTCGGCACATGACAGGACTTGATGGTCTGACTCAGACTCTGACCAGCTGCTCTGTGGCAGAGTGGGGGGTGGCTGTAGTGTGCCAGGGCAGATCCAACACTAGGAGTTCTGCCAGGAGTGAGTCCAGGCCAGCAGCGACGCCAGCCGGCGGCTTGCTGGGGAGTCTGCTGTTGGCTCTGACCACCCGCTGAAGCTGTGAAGCGGGTCTTTGACAGGCGGCCTGATTGACCCAGCCCCCTCCCCAGGCCCCATTGCCCCACAATCATGTGAGTTAAGCGTGGGAGGGCTTTGTCTGCCAGCTTGACCCATTTCTATTTTAGCTCTAGGTAGCAATGCATACATACATTTTTCATTTTTTTTTAATTATTGCAAAATAGTCGTTGTAGGTTCTCAAAGTTTTTTCGATTTATTCATGCTTTCGCCTTTTTTCTGGTGATTTTCTTAAATCTTTGCTTAATAGAGCAGTTGTCATTTTTAAAGAATCCCTTCCTGTATCACATTCAGGAAGATTGTTTGTTTGTTTTTTTTTTGTGGGGTTTTTTGTTTTTTTATTTTATTTTAAAGTTGCTTCCCTGAAAAGCACTTCTTAGCACCTGTGGACTTTTAAGTTTCCAAAAAGATGTAAACTTCTGTGCCTGGCCACCAGAGGGCGAGATCAGGCAGCAAGTTGTATCACAGAGCAATCCCATGCAAATGGCATAGGATTTATATCTACCATCAACTACCTGGGAACATTTTGCTTAATATTTTAAATTGCTGCTGTTCACAAATCCTTATACGAGGCAATGTACTGTTACTCTGGCTCCTCAAAATATGAAAGCTTAGAATGTAATTTTTTTGTGGAGTGAAAATCAGTCAATCAATCAATTTATTTGTATAGCACATTTACAAAGACAAACGTGTTGACAATCACTATGAAGGATACATCAAGGCTAAAGAAAGATTGAACTATAAAAACAAATTTTGAAATTAAAACCCATAAAATCATAGCTCATTATTAAATGAACAAAAACACACAGATATTCAGTGTGAAATGGTCAAAGAGACAAACGTTATAAGGACCAACAACTCAAACAATTCAATCAATTAGTGCCTTATAAAAGGCGAAAACAAAAATTATATAAAAATAAAGATTAATCAATGTTTAAAAACGAATGGGGGGAAAAAAAAAGTTAGACTTAACAGTAACGGGGCGCAGTTCTGAGAGTTAGGGGCAGATCGTTCCAATGTTTTGGTCCAACAGCAGCAAAAGCATGATTCTCAACAGTCTTTATATGGAATCAAGAATTGGCCAGTAGTTATTGGTTACTGGACCGGAGAGAGTGGCAGGGAACACATGGAATACGTATCTCAGAGATGAAAACAATCAAACTTTGTACTTGGTTAATATGACAAGATTATTTTTTGCCATGATAGACTTTTTCCTATATACATTATTGTTCCTTGGGTAGGCCACAGGCGAACAGCGATAAATGCATGGGGGAAGTGTTTAAATATGTATTAAGCATTTAACTGAATATAATGGGTTTCTCAGTTTTGGCTCATCAAAATATCCAAGATTTAATTCTAAAAATGTGCACGTAATGCACCAAGTTTCATATATTAAGCTTTTATTATGTGTGGTTATTCAAATTTGAGTGAAAAATACAGTGGTGAAGTGAAAAGGGGAAGGGAAGCCTGTTGCATTACTAAAAGATCCTGCAGGGGGCAGCGCTTTCCTTCTAGTAGGGGAGTCCCCCATGCCGCTTCAGACTAAATAGCCTAGGCTTGCGTTAAGTGACAAAGATGGCAAAAAAAAGAGAAGCTGCCGACAGCATAGGAAATCCAGAGAGCTGCACAGCGAGGTTGTCAAAACAAGCACACAATGTCCACCTTCACGCAAGCGTTCTGCCCCTGCCGTTTTGGCTGACAGTCCCCCGTGTTCGGCACACAATGCGGCTTCTGTGGACAGAGCGTCTCCCCCTAATGAAAACGGGGAGGCCGCAATCAACACAGCATGCCCGCGCCCTGTGATAAATCACTATGTAAATGCAATACGTGCTGTGTGGGATAGTTTAGGGGGGTTGCAGAGAGGGGTGCTGAATTTTGGCCTCGTGTCACGGCAGTACATACTGAGGTCTTCGTGTTTACTCTGAGCCCAGCTCTTGGGGTCCTTTCTGCTTTCAGGCCTTGCTCATTCATAAATGTCCCCATCTCCAATAATGTGGGTGATCTCAGACGGCGCCTTCAAGCTCAAGCATGTGAAATGAACAAGGTGTCGTAAGGAATGGAGTGGTCCGTGTTTGTCGTTACAGACTTTTATCCAAAGACAGTTTGCCAAGCATCCCTCCCCCTTGGTTAATTATTATTATTAGAGCCATGACTTTTAATGAAGCCAGTCCGGTTAGGTATCTAGCGCCTAATAAAACTGATCTCCAAAGCCTATGTGCGAGCCTCCAAGGGGAGGCACTTAGATACATGGTAAACTGGTGGAACTACCATTCTCCATGGGTGAAGTCTTTGTTAGGATGATTTTAGCAAATGCTATTGTACCAAATGAATTGGCCAGCCGAAGGAGCACATAGGTTTGTCAATCTCCATTTGGTGATGTCTTCTGTTATGCTAATGTATTTACAGCCTTCGTATTAATCATAAGTTAAAACCTAAAATTTTAATTTCCGCAAAGGTCCAATGTTTGTACGTCTGAAATGCTAAGAGTTTGAATGTCACTCAGGCATTTTGCAAAGATGCATCTCCAGAGAAACAGATTTAGGTTTCTGTGTTTGCTTGGCTACCTTTGTCCGCGGGTGTGTGTGTTCTTGAACAGCTGTTATTACTATGAAAATTTTATTATGCTGTCTGTTGCCGTGTTTGTTTCTGCTATTGGACCCAGTGCTTCCTCCTCATGTTTCTGTTCTCGTCTCTCCCCCACTAGGTTTGCTGGGATGGGTAATCTTCTGAAAGTCCTAACAAGAGAAATAGAAAACTATCCTCATTTTTTCCTGGACTTTGAAAGTAAGTTTTCAGGAGGGACGTGTGCATGTCTGTACGTGTATGGGGGGGGGGAAAGTGGGACCTTGGGGTTCTTCCCATTCCTGGTCAGCATGTGGTCTGTATTTACGGCTTTCTGGAGGGCTACGCAGAGAGACCAGGCCGTGGACGGGATTTCCGAAAGACACTGCTGATTCGGGATGTGTGATTTGCATTCTCCTCCTCTCCGCTTCTTGTCTTTCAGAATCCAAATGGGGAATCTGTTAAAACTTCTCACTTGCACAGAGCTTCACCAGGGTCCAAACTTTTTCCTTGACTTTGAGAGTGAGCAGTGGGCCTATAGGCCTGACGTGTTTCTTTTGGTCGTCTGGTTCCCCACATCGCTACCCCCCCCCCACCCCCCACCCAGCCCCAGTGCCTGTTAGATAGCAGAACTCAGTGCACCAATTGGCAAAACAATGTCCCTCCAGTTTCACTTTTCCCACTCGTTCCCATATTGTGTTAAAAATGGTGTACCATCTGTCAGTCTGTACCTGAGTTTCTATTATTGTCTAAGTACAGACTGCATATTGCTAAATTGGTATTAAATAGTTATTTTCTTATTTAATGAAAGTTGATTGTTTTGCCAATTCATAATGCATGATATCTTTAACATTTAAAATTCCACTAATGAACTGACATTTAGGGTGTAACTCGTAATGTGTCTGACATAATTAATTTTAACATTTTTCTGCATGCTTAATTATAGTCGTGTGTTTTGGAAGTTACAAAATTAACTGCAGCATTTGAAATACTGGAATGTGCTCTTTATGCTAACATGATAGCATATAGAATGTTAAAGTTTTCTTAGTTTGCCAGGTGGTTAATCTTGAGCTGCCCCCCCCCCCACTTTAGAAAACTGTTAACAATGCTGTAAATGCTTCCTTAACACTGCAAATTATTTCCCTTGATGGGGGATCATGTGAATTGACAACGCAATCTCAATTTGCATAATTACCGCACTAACGTGGCTGTTCGCCCTGCCTGTCTTCGTATTGCGTACTGTGAAGATTACTGCCTTCCTCTCTGCTTCCATTCAGCAAGGGTTACCACTCAGGCAATTTCAGCATGATTTTTCAGATGCGTTTCCAAGGATCCCGATAGTGTTCCATCTTCACCGGCAACCTGACGGGAAATTAAAGTAATTTTGTGGATTCAGGTCTGCGGGGTTTTCGCACAAAACCACCTGAACGGCTTTGTTAACTTAATGTTTTCAGATGGAGCCGTAAACAGAGTGCCGAATGTTTAATCTGACGGTGCTCATTTTGTGCCTTTTGATGCACTCGTTCGCTTATGCGTTCTGCATGTGCATTTAAAGTAATTTGTGTCTCCCCTTGTTTACGTCTGCGATGACTGCAGTGCTTGGCTTTCTTCCTATACGCATCTCATCTTAGTGGTTCATGTTGACGAACTTCCCGAGGCCTTAGCAAGCTGCTAAATGTTCGCTAAACCGAAGTGCGTGTGACAAACCGGGACTTTAAGATTTGGCTTCCCCGAGCAGTGTGTGACTTAACAACTGCTGGTGTGTGAGTAGGGTCAATATCAGACCTCATTTCTGTTGTCAGGTTTTGTCGGCTCATATTAACGTCTTGCCCTAAAACTGGTGTCTTCCTGAATGTAGGGCTGTCTTTGCTGTTTCAGTGCTTTTTTGTGAATCTGTGGTAGTTAAAAGCATATTTCAATATTAAGCAATACTTCCTATATATGTACTTCCTATACTTTTCTATAAGTGGAAATGTAAGCAGGGAATATGAATAATAGATTAAAATGGCACCCAGTTTTCTGTGGTCCAAGATTTGTTTTGGTCTGCTTTTTTGCTGCGTAGTTTCTCTGTCTAATGGCTTCTGCTGTCACTGCCTACCCCAACCCCCCACCCCCCTACTTCCCACCTTGGTCTGTCCTCGACCCCCTGGGTGACAGATGCACAGCCAACAGAGGGTGAGAAGGAAATATGGAACCAGGTCAACGCCGTGCTGCAAGACTCTGAGAACATCCTGTCAGGGCTGCAGGCATACAAGGGAGCGGGCCAGGAGATAAGGGAGGTATGTCAGGCTTAAGCACCATGCGTTCGTATAAAAAGGAGAGCACGGATGGGCACATGCACACGGACGCCGCTGTAGCGTGTGCATGCCGCACCTTGTGCCACTACGCCTGCATGCAGGTAGAAATGCATTTACCTACAGCCAGTCAGACTGTGGGAAATGTATGAGACCGCACAGTTTGAAAAGAGCAGCTGGTTTTTACATAATTGTAGCTGTTTTTGTTGATCAGATTTTAATTGCATTTCATAAATGTTTGCTGTTCATTTATGTTTCCTGTTAATAGGTATTATATTGTACTGGTCTGCGCTAGGGGTTTATTTTAGGCTGGTTTGTGTTTAAAGCAGTGATCATGCAGGGGTCTTTGGAGCTGTTTAACAATCTGATGTTGCTGTGTGGTACGGTTGTGTGGCTGTAGGGTTTAGGAGACCTGAGTGCTTGTGGGATCAGGTCCAAACGGCTTCTAGGCCACAGTTTGGCACTACCATGCTGTGATTCTGAAGCCTGCGCGGGTGTTTTTATGTGCTGTTAAAATGTGCACATGGCACAGTACATGAATGACTCCTAATCTGTGTTGCCTTGTAGCTTAAAAGCATCCTGCAATGTGCCAAATGAGAGCTAACCTGGTGTTGCATCTGGTCTTGGGCTGCAGTGTGTGTCATTCTCCTTAGGGGGCTGCTCCTCCTGACCTACAGTCGCCTGCGTCTGCGTGGAAATTCCCTTGGTATTGATAGGGTCAGAGGGCACCTGATCTGAGATGCTTCCCCCCAGCCACTAGGATAGCTGCCATTCGGACTGAACAGGAATGCGGACGAAAAGTCCTTTTTGGGATGGCTGAGGTCCAGAAGTATACTTACGAACTGTTAGAGGGCATGGCGGACATGCAATGAACCAGCAAAGCGCCTCGGTAGCCTGTCGTCAGCTTGCAGACCTTTAAGCGGAACTCTGCGCCGGCCGGTCTTCCACACGTGTGCGGAGTGAGCAGGACGGCAGGAAGGTCTCCACAGCTGTCGTGTGGTATGGAGAATAGGCACAGCGTATGCATTTAGAAGCTGTGAGACGGAGCTCGTATGAAGCACACATGAAGGAAAAGGACAAGCTTCAGGAGTGCCGTGCTTTGTGTGTGTGTGTGTGTGTGTGTGTGTGTGTGTGTGTTTAAGATGTATTTACTTCTACAGTTTTTCTTGCTGAATTATGTTAAATTTTTTTCTGGGGTGTAAGATATAAGGAGGCCAGCCTTAACTATGGGGGGAAATGTCTGCTCAAGCAGAAAAATGTGGAAATAGAGGCGTGTAGAGAGGTCACGGCAAGGGCCCGTTTAGGTTTATACAGGCCTTCTGTCGTCTTGTAAAACGCTCCACTCTTCTTGTAAATTGGTTCAGGGGATGACACCAGAAACACCCTCTGTGTGAAACTTAAGAATGAATGGCGAGCAGAAGTGAACCATTTAACTGTAGGCGACCCCCAAAGCTTTATGCCCGCCTTCAGCACAGCGAACTTGACCCCAGCAGGAAGAAGGAAATATTCCAAGAAGGGAGCTTTTGTTTTAGGGGGTGTGTTTCGTGAATATTGCTCTTGACTGCCTCCTGCGGGTGAAAATGCAGTTTGACTACAGCCTTAACCTATTAATTGCGTTAAACCTGTTTCCTCCCACAGCATTGCTCTGAGTGTTTTTTTTTTTTTGTGCTTTTACCTATTTATAAAAAGCTTCTTCAAGATGTATCACCAGGCCTGCATTTTCCTTTCTACAGAAAATAGCTAAATGTTTACCTTTGTGCTGCAGGCGATACAGAACCCGACTGACTCTCTGCTCCAGGAGCGAGCCTGGAGCTCTGTATGTCCACTGGTTATCCGGCTGAAGAAATTCTACAGCTTCTCTCTCAGACTGGGTATGTTTCGGCCAGGATGCCTGTTTGTCTTGTCTGGACTGGACTCTCTGTATCGTCTGCACTGACAGATGTATTTTTTTTGTCCCCACAAGGGAGAACTCAATTTCATAAAAAATTAGTGACTGCAACCAAAAAACTAAATATGCGAAAAGTGTTGTACAGTAAAACCTTGGATTGTGAGCATAATTCGTTCCGGAAATGTGCTCGTAATCGAAAGCACGCTAATATCAAAGCGAATTTTCCCATTAGAAATAATGGAAACTCAGATGATTTGTTCCACAACCCAAAAATATTCATATAAAATGATTAATACAAAAATGAAGTAAAAATACATAAAACAACCTGCACTTTACCTTTGAAAAGAATCGTGGATGGTGTGAGGGAGACCAGAGAGGAGAAGAGGAGGGTTATTTTGTGGGATGACTTTCACTATAACTAACGGAATCGCTGCTCACTGGAATCTTTTTATTTTTGTGGGACTTTAAGGAGGAACCTATCGAATGACTGCCGCTTTTGCCTCCTTTTTGATTTCGCGGAAATGTGGACATTGCATTGTCTTTAAACAGATTCATCGCTCGCACTCCTACTAAATTTTGTCTATACGAGTGAGGCACGCTGACTGAGACCGAGCATGGGAAATGATTACCCACAATCCTGCATTGAGAGAGAGAAGAACCATCGGCTCAGTTGTGATTACGTGACGCTAGGCAGACAAAGTGTATACGTAATACTTGTATTGCAAGACCTCGCTCGTTTATCAAGTTAAAATTCATTTTTAATTTTTGCTCATCTTACAAAACACTCGCAAACCAAGTTACTCGCAATTTGAGGTTTGACGGTACAACTCCAGATAGAATCCTAAAAAGTTGGAGTTCTGATCGAATTTTCCCCATTTGAAATAATGGAAAACCAACTAATTGGTTTCCAGCCCCAAAAAATTACACCTAAATGTTTTTTTTTTTTTTTTAAGCTTTCAAAAAAAAAAAATGAACCGGATAAAACGAGAAGAGCATATACTGTACTAAACACATCTAAGCACATTTATCAAAAGAGTAATTTGTAGAGTAAGACAATAAATGTATCCAAACAATGTGTAAAGTTTAAAAAAATAAATAAAAAATGTCCTGCCCCGATCGTCCGCTCGTTCCGTGTGCCACGCCCCCTCGTTAACCCCGTGTGGAATCCTTGTGTAATCAGCTGTTTCTGGTTGTTAAATTAAATGTATTAATGCTTTATTATTAATATTAAGATAATAAAATCTTTATTTTTACATATATTTTATTATATAATAATAATAATTAATATTACTGTCTGTCATTGTCTAAATGTATTTTTACTGTCTAAATATATGTATTCAGCTAGTGTAAACATGCATGATGCTATCACAGCGAATGCGAGGCTGAGACTGAAGCATTACCCTTTGTTTCTGCTGAGAGACGTGCCGTGTGACTCATTTCCCCGTGTGTACAAGTTATCTTAGGTTGGCGTTCACGGTTTGACTTCTGAGATTCGAATCGAGTTCTAGGTTTTTTTTTTTCGAACTTGTTGGTTCGACTTTTAAGAAATTCGAGTTCTAATAAGTTCGAGAACTGAGGTACCACTGTATTTTGTTTGGTTACTTATTGTTAAGGTTAGGGCTGGGTAGGGATTGGAAGGTTAACATAGTTGTGATTGTCCATAAACCATGGAGATTGTCCATGGAGAGTCCCAATAAAGATATAGATGTGTAATCTGCTTTTCTGTGTGTGTGTTTCGTGTCTCTTACTCACTTTTTGGGCATGATAATGATAACATCAAGTTGAGTTTGTCCAGTCTTTACCCAGATGTGCTTGGAGAGCTTGCACATCTTCTCAGCGGTCATTTTACTTCTCTCTTGCTGGGTTGCAGAGAAGGCCCTGCAGAGCCTGCTGCTGTCGCTGACGTGTCCCCCGTACACACCGACGCAGCACCTAGAGAAGGAGCAGGCCCTGGCCAAGCAGTTCGCTGAGATCCTTCACTTCACGCTTCGCTTCGATGAGCTCAAGGTCCGGCATCATTTTTCTTTGGAGATGCGTGCTTGAATCATAACCCCGTGAGCTCTTTGAGCATTATGGGAGATGTTCGTCATTTTGTTCGAGCACGAGCCTGTGAATTAGCCCAGAAAACAATTAACTTTATGATTGCTTGCATTTGGCTCATCTAGTTCTGTTGTTACCCGTCGTGTCTTCGCAGATGAGAAACCCAGCCATCCAAAACGACTTCAGCTATTACCGGCGGACGATCAGCCGGAATAGGCTGAACAACATGAACGTGAGTCAGAGTAGCAGGATGTACGCTTGCCGCTCTCACCGAGAATAGACCCCCCCTCCCTTTTTGGGAGCTGGGAATCATTTCAAGAATTCCCTCAACTCCCTGTTAACTGAGAGCAACTGTAATTGAACATAGCAGCAGTCCTTATTCTCCCTGTTTCTGTTTTGTTGCTCTTTTAACTCTTAAGCTGGACATTGAAAATGAAGTCAACAATGAGATGGCGAACAGGATGTCCTTGTTTTATGCTGAAGCCACACCAATGCTGAAAACTTTAAGTACCGCAACGACTAACTTTGTGACTGAGGTAAATGGAGCTGTAATTAACTTCCTCTATTTTGGCTAGTGTTCCCGCGGCGTGCTATGATCCGTCGTGATTGGCTGTATTGCCTGTGTACTGTTTTGTTGTATTTTTGTGCACGTTAGGTAATGCATCATGTATTGTGCATTCATCTCTCTCTGCATGCAGAACAAAACGTTGCCCCTGGAAAACACGACAGACTGCTTGAGTACAATGGCCAGCGTATGTAAAGTCATGCTGGAGACACCGTAAGTTCCGCTAAATTGGAATCGATTACCTGGCGGCCTAATGTGGAGCCCGCAGGTATGGCTTCGGATGCCGGGGACTGATGGCGCCGTTTCTGCCCCCCCAGGGAATACACGAGCAGATTCAGCAGTGAGGACACGCTGCTCTTCTGCATGCGGGTCATGGTGGGAGTCATCATCCTGTATGACCACGTGCACCCTGACGGTGCTTTTGTAAAAGCCTCAAAAATTGACGTAAGGCCCATTGCTTATTTTCTGGCTATCAATTCCATTTATTTGTTGAATTTTTCTTTATATATAATATTACACCCCCCCCATTTTCCAGATGAAAGGGTGCATAAAGGTTCTGAAGGATCAGCCAGCTGACAATGTTGAAGGTCTCCTGAATGCCCTCAAGTAGGTCATCTTATGCTGTTTTTATCGATTTTTAAGCGAGAGTGGGTGCACTTCCTGAATGAGCTTTGCCTGCGCTAAGCTTGATGCCGCTCTGCCATCCTGGGAATTCTGGGGTTTCGTCATGTTTGTGGATCTTCTTTCCATCTAAATAGAACAGAACATGCAATTCATATGCCCCCAGGGTATTGCCGTCAATGACTGTCGCTATTTTCTCGTCGCTATTTTCTCATTTGTCTTCATTATCATCTTCTCATAACTCTGGTCACTGAAGAGTCAAACATTCTGACTACTTCACAGGACTGTCAATTGTGGCAATATGTGGATAATCTGTATCCCTATGTAGGCCGTAAATAACATTAGAAAGGTTTAACATAAATGCCTTAGGTTAGTTCACATGCTTATTTGTGGACTGGGGACCAGAGCATTTTACAAGCTCATACTACTCCTCATCGGAACTGAGTGGCTTACGTAATCCTCTTTCCTTTCATCTGTAATCGTTAGAGCACATTTTACTTTACGTTTGGCAGGGTGCTTACCAGAGCTGTAAAGCTAACAGCAATTAACATTTTCAGGTTCACCACAAAACATCTGAATGAAGAATCGACTCCGAAAAACATCAAAGCAATGCTTCAGTAATGCGTTCTGTATGAAGAGGATCGATGCAGTGACCTCAAGTTGTATATGTTTACATAATTTAAGGACTTGATGTTGATACTTGTCTGTATTTACAGTCATTCCTTCTGAAGTTACTGAAACCTATAAAAAAAATTCTTAGGGGGGGAAATATATTTGCTATACCACTGTTTATTGAAGCACAAATTAATGACAACTTTAGCCTTACAAACCTGAAACATGCAAAATGCTCGGCTTGTGTTATTTGAGGTTTACAGAAAGGGGCTAAAATCACTGGCTGTTTCATGCATTCAGGGAAGCATAGTGACTGACAGCGAAAGCATCTGTGCATTTTTTCATTTACATCATTTGTCATTAGAAGGAATTAACAGGAATTGCGGGATGTGCATGAATGCCAAATGTCTGTGTGTTTGGTTGTTTTTTTTTTAACTGTTATGGCGAGATTTCGGACATTGTGTGCATGTGCACGTTCCTGTTCAAATGGTTATTTGTAGTATGTATGCGTCTAACAAAAAGCTTTGCTGAAAATAGCTTTAAACTCAAATGTGATGTCAAGAATTTGCAAGGTGACAGTAAGTGGATGAGAAATGTCCTGTTCTAGTAAAGACCCCAAGGTAAATCTGGAGTTCAGACTGATGATTACCCACTGGCCCACCCAAGCCCACGTCAGCCCATGAAGTCCAATAGGGATAAAAGATTGGGCTGTTTTTTAGGACACACCTAATGTGTGGAGTAGAAAGATTTCTTCGGAAGAGGTTTGTGCTACTGACCTTGTTTTAAAAATGTCTAACATATAATTACCCCCCCCCCACCCTGCGAATTTCAGCTGAGATTGTGAGACTGCAACTTTGCTGGGTTGGCTTTTGAAATAATGATATTCTCCTTTCTGCTGTTTTATTGGGGGCATCAATGTCCACCATTCTGATAAGGTGAAACAAAAAGTACTTTTATAATCATAAACTTGTATATAATTCTCCATGGCATTAAACAGATTAATGTGTGAAGATTTCACCTGTAGCTCACAGGGACGGTGTACATGAAGGGTGCTTTTCTGTTCTAATCTGTTCTGACCATTCTTTCTATGCTACTATATGCTTTTCTGAAATGTATCATGAGTCATTAAGGATGTTTAACTGCAACAGCTTTCTGGCTGAGTAAAATCATGGATGATTATTGTTTAACAATTTAACATGGTGAATTTAGTCCCCTTAAGTAAAAAGCCATATATTATGAGTGTCATGCTTATTTTGCCTGGTGTGTGTTTTTGTTTTTTTCTTTTTCCTTTTGGTATTGTAACATTGTACAGCAGTGTGATTGATACTGACGGTTAAGATTGCTCATTAACAATTTTGTTTCTCATACTATGTTATTTCCAGCTGAATCATACAATTGAGGCTTCAGCAGTCCTCTTCAGTACATTTGGGCTCCTAAGATCTTCAAATTGGAGAGTTATGTGGAATTGAGCCATTCTTAATTTTATTAGGCTGTATGTATTTAAAAAAAAAAAAAAAAAGTTGTCCAAAGTAAAAACAAAGCTTTGAAATTGAATTTAAATATATCAAATGTTTAAATCATTTATTTATTGAAAACAAAAGCCTAATCAGTTCGGGAAGTATTTCAACGTTAGAACATAATTTAGAAATCCCACCAGATAACCAAAATGCTTATGTGGGTTTTTCGCTTTTTATTGTTTAGTGAATGGGTGTCTGAACAGAGAATAAAGTTTGGAACAATGTTTCCTTCTGGAATGTTTTTTTAATGTGTTCAGCGTGCCCCTCCGTCTGTCGCACATGTGAAACGGATACCCCCCGTACAACATATGGGGAACAACAGGCAGTATGGAAAATCAATATGGCCGTAAGACAAGGTCCACGGGTACGGCTCAGGTTGCAGACTTCAAAAATCTCTGAATGGGCCCAGTATGTAATCGTTTGATAGCTAAGGGGTCACTTAGGGGTCTTAGTTTTGCTGCTGTTTCCCGTGGCCTGAAAGGCATTCGGGTAACTGCTCCATCACGAGCGTCCCGCGACGGCGGAGCTGCTTCATCGCTCCGTGGCGAGTGTGGAAATGAGTCGTCATCTTTGGAGGTCCGGTCAGGCCCCCTTGGGGCGGCCTCTCGCGAGTCTGACCCACCCACCCCCTGCAACACGGGTCCACCTTTGCCATCAATCGGGCTCGTTGCCATCTGTTTTATTCAACAGTCCGGCAGAAAGATTCTTTTCTGGGTCAGAGGTTATTTAGATGCCACATGGTCTGTACGCCCTCCTGAGAATGGCTGTCCAGAACCCCCTTTTTGGCCCTACTGGGTGAACTATTCAGTGCTGTTAATGGCTGTCCAGAATCCCCTTTTTGGCCCTACTGGGTGAAATATTCAGTGTTGTTAATGGTGATGCGGTAAAAGGAAAAAGTGAGAAATTGTCCTTATAAATCGTGTGAGTCACTGGGTGCCTATAGTGTCGTGACCTGCTATTCTACTCAGAGGAAGTCTTAGTCTTTGGAAATAAGGATACCCTGGTGTCTCTTGGCTTTCTGGCTAGCGGATATTTGGTGTGTGTCGTCTTCCTGTCCTCAGCACCGCAGGGTTGGCGCGGTGGGTCCCGGTCTGCGGTCCCAGTCGATAGGCTAATGCTTGGGTCTGCTGCTTAGTCTCTTCAGTTACTCGCTCGAGCTGGAGTTGGAAATCAATCTGAGCACTAACCTTCTTGGTCTCTTCTAACATGATGTAAATAAGAGCCTTTGAACTGCCACATCACAAAATATCCAATTGCATAGTTTCAAATTTTTTATTTTTTTTTTATATACATTTTCCTCTTTTTGGTAGCGTCTGAAGAAGAATTAACAAGACATGAGTGGTCATGAACTTTCATGAGTTCACCTTGCCAGCATGCTTGTGTTGGCCAGCATGTCTGTGTGAAGCCTTCGGGGCACAGGACCACCTTGGACTCCGACATGAAGTGCTTGTGGAGCTGGGGGGGGGGGGGGCGTCGTCTTTAGCCCCTGTCGTTCATCAGGTCCTGGCTCAGGTCCATCTGGAAGCATGGATCACATGAAGTCAAAACAAGGCCGTGTTTGGTTTCCGCCGCCGTGCACGCTTCGGTTCTCGTGGAAAAGCTTCTCCTTGGGGCTGATAATTTGTTGCCTTTGCAGCTCAAACTTTTTGTCGAACTGCAGAAAACAAAGAGGGCACAGTCTGCTTTATTTTTAAAACATTTAAAAAAAAAAAAAATTTTCCTTTTTATTTTTTTATTTTTTATGAGTATTAACAATAACTGTGAGGTAATCACAAGATTTTTACAGTAGGCAGAAATACTCTGGAGGACTTATTTAGCACTGCATTGTTTATTTTTGTCAGTTGGCTGTAGCTAGTGTATGTGAATTTGCTGGTTTGTTTTGAGTTTGCTGGCTCATCTGAATGTGGGAATCCTTGCTTCTGTGCACCGGCTGATTTTTTTAATTTATTTTTTTAACGATATTTTTTCCCCTCTGAGCATTAATCTCGATAAAAGCCCCGGCGTTGCCCAAATTTGTCTGATGTCCAAGTGCTGACAGCTTCAGCCTTAAATCCGTCTGTACAACATGTGCTACCTGTACGTTCCTTTTTTTATATTTCAAACAGAGCTTATGCCCTCTGCACCCCCGTTGAGGGGAAACTACAATCCATTAATCATCAAGTCAGGCCCAGACTGCTTTTGTTTGATATGCCAAAACAGTGATGCAGTCAGGGTAGCCTCACTCGACATGAAAGTGAAATTATAATAGGACGTGAGACGTTTTGCCCGTTCAGGAAGCTGGTGACGCTTCCTTGATGTGAGACCCTGGAGCTCTTCCAAGGATAATGGGTATTTTTAATTCTGCTCTTTTACATCAGGACCCTGGAATTCCCTCCTGCGGCTCTTCTGCTTTCCATTACTTTTATTTGAAATTCGGATCTATATTTACTTATCAAAAACACATGTCTGTGTCGGCACAGGAAACTGCAGGGCCGGCCGTAAAGTGGAGCGGAGGCATTTTATTAAGATACCGAGGTGAGGAGTTACTAGAAGGAGTTCAAATATGGCGTTAGCAGTTGTCTGGGCTGTTCTTGGTTGCCATTTTGATCCGGTCACGCCACTGAGACCAGTACAAACATTTGATCTTTGTCCCCTGCTGGAGCCTCGGCAACTCTGTCATCCGTTGAGATGCGCTTCGATCGAGCGCCATCAGCATGCACGTTTGTATAACTTGCTCACGGCGGTGGTAGAGAGAGCTGAATTTCTCAAGAATCCATTAGTGGCCACAGAGCATGATAATGGCTAATCGACCACCCGGCCACTCTGACATACGCCAGTAGTCTTGGTAGGTCTTTTTCTTGGATTCTCTTGGCAAAAAAGACAAACATGCCGGGTGCGTAGTCTCTGGGTGTTCAGGTGCTTTGGTAAGGATTTGGAGGTCCTGAGAAAGACACTGGTGTCTGAACTCCTTCCCTAAGCATGTTCACAGTGGAATGCCGTGGCCAGAGGAGGGTGTGTCTGGTGATGTTAAGCCCATGCTCAGCAATACGTATTTGCATGGTGCAGTTATTTTTTTTCCCCTCACAGAAAGTGTCATTTTTATCCCGTAATTTCCCACTTTCATCATGGCCTTCGCAGTTTGCTCAACTCATTGTTTCCTTAAACCCCCCCCGGCCCAGGATTTTTTATTTATTTTTTTTTAAAAGCTGTGAATAGAAAGGGGGTCTTACTGTGATGTGGGAACATTCTGGAGATGGATCAGTCATATTCTCACATGACGACCTCATGGAGTCGTACGGAATGCTAATCACCATGACAACTGCCTTGGGATGTCTCTTCGCTGATCAGTCGGGGCATGTTTCCAGGCGAAACCAACGCCAAGTTTCGAGGCGTAATTGTACAACTACTTCTCTAAGAATGATTTTATAATAAAAGGTCGACTGAAATAAATGTGATTTAGAAGCCTACTGACTCATACAAACCCGTCTCGGAGAGGGTTAAACTTTGCATATCTTTGTTGCCCTGTTTAAAAGTCAGGAGTGCGATTAAGCAAAGAATGGATTACAGCTATATGATTGTTTGATTACTCATAAGTTTTTTTTTTTTCCCCCTTTTTTTCCCCCTTTTTTCCTCTTTCTGTGCTTAAGGGTCTGCACCCAAAGAGAGGTACAATTAGCGACCTATTGCACTTTCTGACAGCTTTGTTTAAGGCACCAGGCAGGATGTGCTGTGATCACTTTCTTTAGAAACAGCTGCTGGGTTTGGGGTTTGGGGTGGTGGCTTGAATAAGTCTGGACTTCATCTGCATTGTATTATTTTGCCATTTTTTGACTACTTTTTTAATCCAACATCGAGAATTTTACAGGTTTTTTTTTTCTTCCCCCTTTTGTTAAATGGGACACGTTCACCGCACACATAAATATCAGGGTTTCCGAAATCACTCGTGTGTCCAAGCAGGAGGAAGAAGCTTTTATAGAGAACGTCCCATTGTCAACATCCCTGATTTAAAGGTTGACCCTTCGCCATAAATAAACTGACTGGGATTTATTTAAAGTTTTTACGGCTCAGTCAGCTGGCTGCATCAATGTCTCAACGTGGTACAATTCTTTCAGTGACAGAATTTGAGAACCATTCTCCAAAGAAGGATATCTTAAAATATTTCTATTTATTAATATCCCAATCAACCCAATTGTCAAAAAGTTTCTTTGTATATTGTCTTGTTTTTTCCTGTCCACAGTTATTTTCGTTTTAAATTTCATTGGTCTTCCGACCACCTGCACTCCTGCCCTAACCTTCACCACCTTGACCTTTGAAATCACCCATGTGATGGGCTGTTGGGGAGGTACTGGGAACCCTGGGCGTGTCTCACACTCACTCTCACCTTCCTG